ATACAAGCAGAGTTAGCGTCTGATAAAATAAAAGTTCCAGTTGTCAAAAAGATTCTTAGCATTTGTCCACAGCCAGCTGCATTTAATTGAGACACAGAACACTCATCTTCTAAGACTGTATACTGCTGTTTTACGGGCAATCTTGCTACCGATGTTATTGCTGGGGAAATTGTTTAATGACAGTGATCATGAAATATGGTCAGAGATAGATGTACAGTTTAGAAACAAACACCAAACATACTTATCGCTATCTTATAATGTATGACAGCAACATCATCAAAGGCACGTTTTTTTCCTATTTTTAATCAGACTGATCTGAATCAGTATACTCATTGGAAACAGGTAACTCTACTTACTAAACTGGTCTGTTTCGTTACAGGCTTCAAGCACTATACTTAAGTATTATGGTATATATACCATAATTCTTTCAACTAAACTGAATTATACGACAATCAAGAATACTAAACTAAGCAAGTGTCATAGTTATTGTTTCATTTGCACAGACATGTTGCTCAAAGTAGTTGAATGGACATAATTCGGCCGATAAAACCAAAACACGAAATATGGGCAAGTCGAACTTACCTAAGAAAGAAAGGATACATATATACTGCTTTCATACTGAAGACAACAGTCAGTTGTTCATTAAAAAAACATAGTTCACAGTACAACAAACCTTTCTTCAGTAAAATCATGCACTGACAGTCTGTCTAGAAACAATCAACTATGTGAACAAACTCACTATGACTTGAGATATCATCCCAGCGTGCAATGGACGTAGAGTGTAACGCAGTCAAACGTGGCAAATAAAAATTAAAAACAGAGAAAAATTAACTACATAATCTAGTTATTTAATTAAAAATACATTATGAAATGACAAAATCTGTGGTTACTTGAACGCACAAATGACAGTGTGCGATACATTAAGTTTACATGGTTGCGTTGCGGAAGTACGTTGAAGGGTCTTCCACATGTCGTTTCGAGAGGTCGTCGAAGTGAGTCACGACGTACAAGACGTGTGTGCTATATCGTATGGCAGTTAGAACAAAAACACCAGTTTACTGCGGTCGAGCAGAAGAAGGTTTGGCCGAAGACATTGCGTTTGTAAGCCTGCTCGTGTAGGAGCTTAGATCCATGTTCATCGAAGAAGATGAAGGGTCCACGAATTCTCCTGGAAGTCTAAGTGTCGTTCCATAAACCAGTTGAGTCACAATGTATCCAATGTCAGTTTTCACTGCATTGCGAATAACTAGTAAGACGAGTGGTTTCGAACTGGCGTCCACGGTCTATAGTGATGGTTCAAGGGCAATCGAAGTTTCCTACCCATCGACGGAGGCGCGGGCCACTGTTTCAGTAGTGATGTCATTGACGGGCACTGCTTCTGGCCATCGAGTGAAACGGTCTACGCAAGTTAAGAGATAAGAGTATCCATTTGAATCTGTTTAAGGTTCTACCAAATCCAGATGAACATGGTCGAAACGAGCATCGGAAGTTTTAAATGAGCCTAGGAGACATTTATTGTGTCTGATAACCTTAGATTTTTGGTAGTTTACGCAGGAGCGTGCCCACTCCCTCACATCTTTATTCATGCCGGGCCAGCAAAACCGTTCTGCTATAAGCTCGATGGTTGCACGAACACCTGGATGATAAAGTTTGTGCAACGTATTGGAGACGTTGCGTCGATAACGTTTCGGCATGATTGGGCGATTCCTACCTGTAGATGTGTCTCATAATGAGGTTTCCTTACCTGAATCATATGTTTAATATGCAGTTTAATGATTTTTGACGATAACTCGTGCTGAAGATTAGTGTCTTCTTTTGGAGCTGGACGAGTTTCAGAGGGTCGATTCCTTGGAAACTATTCAAGGAATTTGTGCGAGACAAGGTGTCCGCGACTACATTGTTTGCTCCAGAAATGTGATGTATGCCTGAAGTAAACTGAGAAATGTGAGTCAGTTGTCGAGACTCTCGAGGTGAGTACTTGTCTAAAGATTAGCTTAAAGAGAAAGTAAGGGGTTTGTGATCAGTGGAAGGGGCGAATTCTCGGCCTTCAATATAGTGTTGAAAGTGCCGCACAGCACAATACATAGCTAGACGTTACCTACCGAGTTTGCTATACCTCAATCGGGGGTCTAGCAACCTTCTCAAGAAAAATGCCGAGGGTTGCCAGGTGTGGTTATTCCATTGTTGTAAGACTCTTCCGATTGCTGAGTCGGATGCGTCTACTGCGATACTAATGGGTGCTTCAGTGTCCTGATGTGCGAGCATTGTTGCTTGAGCGATGAATTCCTTAACTGTGGAGAATGCTTTTCGTGCGGTGTCGTCCAGATTGATGGATTTCTCATTTCCACGAAGTTGGTCGGTTAGCGGTTTGATAAGTGACGCGCATTTTGGCATGAACCGTCTACAGAAACTCACTAGTCCGCTAAACGTCCTCACTTGTTTGATTGTGGTTGGTTTTGGGTAACCCAGAATGGCCTCGTTTTGCTTCTCAGAGGTCGGACGCCTTGAGCACCAATAGTGTGTCCGAGGAAATCTAGGTAGTCAGTTCCGATTTGACATTTCTGAATGTTCGAAGACAAAGTCCAGATGCTGGAGATAGATTCTCTGTCCGAACTTGCAATCAAGCAGTCATCAACATACGCATGTAAGAAGTTGAGGCCTCGAAAAACGTCATTGACGGACCCTTGAAAAATTTGGACAGGTAGTTTTCAAATCGTGAATGTGAGGTAACGGGTAACGATCGGGAATGGCTTTCGCCTTCAATCGCCGATAGTCACCAGTTGGACGCCAGTCGTTGCTGTCCATTTTAGGGACCACATGCAGGAGATGTCAATGGGCTGTTTAACGACCGAATGGTTCCTAAATCTATCATATGATCGAATTCGTCTTTAGCCAACCCTGGCATTTTGAGAGCCAGTCGGGAATACAGGTGGTCCTGCAGTCGTAATATGATGTGTAACGTTGCTGGTTACACACGACAATTTCAGTTGCGTTTTGTATATGTCAGAGTACTTATCGAGTGTTTATTGGCAGTATGGATCGATTGTGTGCCTTACCGTGACTGCAGATAATCTACAACCGGTGAAAGAAGTTATACAAACAGATAAATTAGTGTTTCCGTATACCAACCTCCGTTTGCGCGTATCGATGAGTAGATTGTGTTGTTGTAGGAGGTCTATACAAATGATTGGCATAGAAACATCTGCAACAACGAAGATCCAGTGAATGGGTTTGCGTAAACCCAAGTTAAGATAGACCTACCTTATATCATATGTGGTGGTAAATTTTCCGTTAGCCACCTGTAAATTTAAAACCGCTTAGTGAAGTCGGTCTTTGGAATTTGCCGGAAGAACGCCAACGACTGTGCCAGTGACGTATAACAGACGGTTGTTTGGCGGCTACGGTTGCCGTTAACGCGTGCCAGCTGGGAAGTTTCCCGCATTGTATTTCGTGTCGATAGATTTTAAGCCCGGTAAATTGCAGGGTTTTCTGCAATTTCGAGGAGATTTTCCGTACCGGTTATGGCACTGGCACCAGTCGGGGTTATCAGTCTCTCGTGGTCTAGAGACAGATCGCTTACGTAAAGTGCTTCTTCGTGTGGTGTGTGACCGTTTACGGTCATTATGAAATTGAAGGTAACGGTTCAGCGTATGACGTAGTTTCGTAATGTCATTCTGTATCGTTTGGGACTTTTCTTTGAATGAAAAAACCTCAACGTCAGAAGATTTGGTGATCTCTAAAATCTGGTCCGCAGATTCAGCCAGATCGTTGCTTGTTCTGAAACAAGAGCAGCACAGCTTGTACTTTTTGAGGAAATGTAGATAAGAAAAGTTGTCTGAATAGGCCATCATCGAAAGTTCTTTGACCAATCACTTCTCCCATTCTTAACAACATGTCTTTCGCTGAAACATGATGCAGGTCGATGTTATTAAAAAGTTGATCTAACCTTTGTCGACCGGTTAGGTCTCCGCGTTTTAGAATAGATCGTTTTAGAGTTTTATGAGGTTCCAAAACATCACTAGTAAACATACTAGGTGTTATGTACCTGTTAAATTTGCGTGGCAGTGCCCTAATACTGCTAGCAATTGTGCACGTGTATTAATCACGCCGAGTTCGTAGACTTCGGCCTCTGTGTATCAGAACCAGGCCTCGAGGTTGTCTGGCCAAAAGGGCATTAATGGAAATGAAGGTTGAGTTTGAACCTAATTACCTTAGGTGTTTGTTCTATCATGGCGAATATGAAGTACAAGAATGAACATCGAGACAAAATATCCCAAAGTACGAAAAAATATCACAATATATGAAAATTAAAATAAAGCAATGATATATGGCATTCCAAAAATGAATAGACTCACAATTTACGGTTTGGTATACTAGATCACGTAGGGCTCATTAATGAAGATGCCACAGGTATTTCTAATTTGACAACATTTCAACCAGTAGCACCTTTTATGGTTGAATCGTGCCCGCCCAGTGAAACCAAAAGTTAGAAGCGAGGAGGTTTGAAAACATATTTGAAGGGCCATCAATATATTGAGAATCGGTTGACTTAGACTGGTTAGCGATTGCAGAAGTTGAGCACAGTGTTCCCACCTGTGATTTGGTGCGGATGCATGACCAAGCGCCTTTAGCTAGGCGAGTCAAGTAAAACTAATGTGGCCAGCACCAAATATCGGAGACTTTTAGAGCTAGTGATTTCGGGATGCATTTACTTCCACTGTCATATTAAGAAAATCGTATAATAGGGCGTAGGATAGGTATTTGAGATGTAACACATCTGAATTCTTGCGCTGATAACTTCTAGTTTCGGCCACCAGATAGTCTTAGTTTGATGCTAGTATTATTTCTAATAGTTTTCAAACGATTTTGTTTTTTCGTGTAAGTGCGGTCTATGTGTTTACTGATTCGCCCACTCACTTTCTTAGTCATTCTTCTCTTTAAGATTTGTTCATATACTTCTCATTACGCTGCCGTAGCACAGAAGGTACCTTCAAGTTAGACGAAAATCAATCAAAAGTTGAACATTACATGGTTGACCTTCAACTTTTACTATACCGTTCATTGCTCGGGTAAGTAACATGTAGAGGAGTCAAATTTAGTAGGTGATATTTGCGTGGTCAAAGATTTCGTTGAGTCGTTTGCCAAACCTGTTAGTAATCGTACTAGCAATTTGTGGGATGAAACAATCCTAACTTGACTTGAAAACTTTCGGGGAACGTAGGTTCCCCAAAGTGGAATAGCCTTTCCCCAAGTTTGGGGAAATTCAGGGGTTTTTGTGCCATTTCACTAAAATTTACTATAGCGGCTTCCCCAAAATTGGCAGCTTCCCAGACAACCCAAAAAGGGGAAATAAAGGGGTAAATGCTTTGGTAGCGAAAGGGAAAATAGAGGGGAAAACGCATCAGAATGTCGCCTTTTTCGCCTGTCCGGGGGAAACAATGCGGATTCCCCCCTTTTTCGCCGTTTTGTCGATAAATTACCGACTTATCGCCTAAATATCCACAGAACTGTCGAATTTTCGCCTAAATATCCGCTGAATTGTCGAATTTTCGCCTATATAGCCACTGAATTGTTGAATTTCCGACTAAATATCGGCAAAATTGTCGAATTTTCGCCTAAATTTCCGCGGAATTGCCTACTTATACGCTTAATTGTCTACTTTTCGCCTAAATACACACAGAACCTCCTATTTTCCATCCATTGACATAACCCCAAAGGTCTCCTATGTTCGCCTTTATTTTCAACAACAGACCAAAATATATATGCAATGCAGTGGAAAACCGGTACATTTTTAAAAAAATTTATTTAAAAGGAAAAGCGTATTATTGTACAACACTAGAGCAGAAGCTTAAGCATCAATTGTTTTGCATATCCAATGCAATTGCTAATTCATTGTTATTTGAAATTATCTGAAAAAGAAGGAACAGGTGATGTTTTATTTATAAGGAATGTGCATTTAATCAACAGTTAACTGACATTCAAACACACATTCTCAACACTTCTATAGTTTCCCATGTAAGTAAAAAAGTAAGCTGTTTGACAAAATAATGTTTATTGAAATGTAGGTAGAGCATCAAAACAATTGCACGGACTATTCCCTTAAGCCACGTTCGTTCGGCTATTGAGAATTGAGGTACTCGTCCCGTGAATTCTGTATTAAAAAAAAGAAAACAAGTCACAACCATATCTCAATGACATGCTTTGGCACAGCCAAATACTTGAAGCTGAACTTACGGTTATGTTCGTTAATATTTTCGACTGTACCTATAGAGCCGTAGGGAAGTTATCAATTTAAATTAGTACATACCTGATCTTGTTTTCTTCTATTACGCTTTATCATCTTGTCTCGGATATCATGAGAGTAACCTTGTATCGCGATGTCGTACAGCTTACCAAGGTCTTTTTGTTGACAGAGGATGACAGAAAGCGATTAGTTAAGGTACCTGAAGTTTAAGTAATAGATATAGGTTACTTCTTATGCAGCCGTAAAACTTGCATTTCTGATGTGCTCGTTTTGAAGAGGTGCCAAGTAACGTGAATTTACTGGCAACCTCAGGTGTCAAGAGATGTGACAGAACAAACCGCATCGATGTTTTTGGATCGTCACTTGATAACCTAGTAACCATTGCCATCTGTAATAGTAACAAATTATTAAATTCATGTTAATGACTTACAAATCTGTCCCTGGTTTCTTTCTGCTGCAAACCAGTATCTAGCATCTGCAGTTCCTCTTCAGATGACAAAGGGAACTGCTGACTCGACAGTCCGCAATCGAATTGGTGCGGTTTTTCGCGTTCATTAGACTTAAATAGTAATTGGTTTACATTAATATTTAAGTCAGTAATGGCGGACGATATGTTGTTCATCGTTTTAGTCAAACAACCCAATTGGGTTGTTTGCCACATAAATACCTTTTTACATAAGACCAGTCACAGACGTGACACAGTATTGCTCCACAATAAACAATTATGTAAACGATTCTTAGAGGACAGCATATGAAACATCAATTACAGTTTATTCACGTTGTCGAAGTAGTCTTGTAAACGCTATATTTGTTCATCGCTATAGTTACAATAATTGTTATGAATAATATTGTGTTAAGTTAAAATAAAGATATAAATATCTTATGAATAATTTTTCTCCACATATTGTTTATTTTTGGAGGTAAATGTTCGTCTATTTCTTGCGGTCCGTTCCAACTGTCGTCCAGTGTTCAGAAAAAAACTAAAACGCTACTCTCAAATGCGATCACTAAGAAAGTAATTTAAGTGATGTTCTGATTATATGACAATGGAGAAGTCCCTAGTGTAATGACAATCATAAAACCTGGGTATCACGCTTTGTTGACGGAATGCACCCAAAATCAGCCTATAGGGACATATGAAATTCATCTGTGCTGCGAAAGGCTATGTGACAATGTGTATGAAACTAATAGCTTACAGTATCGTCGGTGGGTGTTTGTAAAGCCAGCTGGGTAATAAAACTACACAATAAATAATATTTCCAATATAGACCTGTGAAAAAGCTTATGAACATATACATATATGCTATAATAAATTTCAACTATTACGGCACAATTTTTTGAATTGCAATTCGCGCTTATATACTTTATCTCTTACTTCGTACAAAAAATCCTGGCTCACAGTATCCACCACTTTTTATGTTTCTTTTCAGGATGGGTAGCACTTTTGAACCGTGAAGAGAGAATACTTAATCAGATATGTTCACTACTATCTTGACTTATTGTGAATCGCTCTGTAGAATTTGTAACTACTTATAGCCATTTTGCTTTAAGCTCTACGTAGTTTATAAGTTATTAGCAGTTCTGACTTCAACACGTAAGCTAAAGTTGCCTTCATAGACTTACGAAAACTACTACCAATGATCTTCAAGAATTTTGTCACCTGAATCTGTAGAAACAATTGTTGCAACTTACGAACTGATTACGGAACTTTTGTTCCTACAATGCAGCTTTTAAAGTGCTAAGTTCGTCATGTGTTCTTAATGAAAATCGCAAAAATGGGATTTATATTGCAAGTATTTCTGTCTTTCATAATGTTAGATGAGCTTCGAATGTACGAGTTCATCTTATTGATCTGACTCGACAGACCACTAATTGCTTTAAAAAATGGTGGACATACAGTAGTACGAGCGTGAGACCTACCGGCATAAAAATAAATGAATAAAATCTATTCAGTGACAACTCTGAGAAATTTAGTTGGAAGTGGTGGCTGTTTTGGAAGAACTGTTTTATAAGCATCTACTTAGTGTATACTTAACTATTGGTGCGAAGTTACCAGTCAACATGTTGACAACCGTAAACTAAACTGGTATGCATACAGCATCCATCTCAGCAGCTTCTAGTTTTTCCGAGGTGTGTAAACAGTCTTATTTTTGTTTTGCTGCTCTGTCGACCCTTCTTTATTGCACATAATTACGTCCTAGGTTTTTCCGGTAGACTTGGCAGCGTATCGTCTGGCTATGTTACTTGTTTATTTTAAAAAAAAAAACACTCGTAGAAGGAGGCACCAAATATATATGCACCACTTCGTCATCCGACTTGTATGAGGGCTAAAATACTTCCCGGGCTCCCAAGCCGAAGCAAGTGGTTTTTGTAGGGGGTCACTCCCGAGCCGTCGACCTAGAGGTCTAATCCACAAGGCAGTGGAGCAACGTTGGGAGATGCAGTCCCGTGGTAGCCGGTGACCGAAAAATAAATTCATGCGTCATTTGTTACCTTAGGATCCTGGAGCCCATGTTCACCATCGGTTTGCCATCATGGTTTTCCAACTCCCTCAGGTGGATCCTCCATATCTACCAATCCGGTTAAAGTGCCGGATGTTCGTTTTTCGTCTTCTCAATTTCGTAAAAACTGCCCCTGCCGCGAGTATGACTTCCCTGGCATTGGCTGTATACGCGTGGCCATGTGAGAGCATTTTGAAAGGGAGAGCGGACTCTTCCCGCCGTCGACCGTACCAAGGCATTTGGGGGCATAGTAATCCACGTACAATGTGGCTACCTACTGAACATTTAAAAATACCTATGCTTCCAGAAGCGAATGACTCAGTGATCAGAAGTGTTCGTGTAAGGTCGAAACATATTTCTGCCTCCCTCTTTTATTTGGTAGACAAAATCAGGCTTGCCATTTGATATAATTATTTTATTGGGTCTAGTAGTAAAAAACATCGAGTCTCTGCATTCTGTAACTCCAGAATTTACTCTATCACCACATCCCATCTGGTGTGACTAAGACTTGTAAATTATGATTTCCCCGAAATTGACGAAATTTTCCCTAAAGTTGGGAGTTAAAATATAATTATGGTGAACAGAAATCCGAAAAAAGAGTTACCAGTAACTTCTTGGTTTATTAAGAAAATTATAAAGTAATAAAATCCCATTATTAACGAGATGAAAAATTACACCTTTACCATGTAGGTCAAACTTGTCTCTATGGAAGCACACTGCCTTGGAAAAGTTGATGTATGTATAATAATCAGTTTATTAGATTCTTAATACAGCATGAGCAATTACACAAACTCGGAGTTACTTTTTTGCGTCGTCATTGCGGGCCTTTAAGGTTGCTAAGTAGATTCTAAAATTGAATAAAAGCTCTTGTAGTGATGTATTTCAATATGTTTATATTTAATGCATGACAATATAAAGTGAGACCTACAGCAATATTTGCTGAAATAGTTCCGTGTACCTATAGAATGGAAATGGAAATTTATTTCCGAAAGATGTTACGTACATGGTCCTCCCATCTATGATAACGCTTATTTAGCTTATCTCAAATGTCATGGAAAATACTTAGTGTTATGATGTCAAACTTCAGAATCTTTTTTATAACACTGGGTGATAAAAATGCTAAAGAATTACGGAATAAATAAACGTACCTACAAATTTATCCCTCAAATCTTGTTAAAGACGTTTCGAATGCCCCTAATTACTCTTCAGTTGACAGAAGGAACTGTAAACTCGATAATCCGATGATGAACTTTTGGGAATAGACATCACGTCTGTCCGATTTTGAGCTTGAAATAATTTGCAGGACATTAACGGTTGAATCGGACACGGCGAAAATTATTTTACGTAAAACTGCATGTCATTTTGCAAATGTATGACACTGACGTAAATTTCAAGTATAACTTATTCGTCCCCTATGTCACTACTGACAGGCACTAAGACAGAAGATGAAGGTAACAATCCAACCTTTGTTGATTTTACTTATATACGTTCATAGGTATGATAAGCTTGCTTTGTGATAAGGGAGTCAAACTCATTGACTAGGAAGCCAAAAGTAGATTCCAGAAACAACTGAGGTCACTCTTCGGTAGTTCTGAGAACTAGGCTGACTCAAATATTGCTTGTAAAGATATACAAACATCTGTGAAAACAGCAGCGACATCTATTAATAATTTGAACCAAAGGGTCACAAAAAACCAGCGGGTTTTCGCTTAGTCTATTGCACTGATGAATTCTCGTAAACTCATCTCATCAGGCTCGATGAGAGCGAAAACAAGTCAGATATGAGTTAAACAAAAATCTAAAGAACGATTGTGAGCAGTGATGAGTAACGAAGCAAAAGAGCTGGAAAAGGCAGCAGCTGTAGGTAATACAAGGCAGCTCTTCAGACTAATAAAAGAAACGAATTAAGTCACGTGTGAGGCGATCTCGAAAATACGACACTTATCTGTTTTCAGTCCAGACGTTTAGAACGATGGGCGAAACACTTTAGAGAACAGTTTAGCTGGCCTTCAGCTACTCTACAAATACCCACAATTATCAGACAGCCCGAATGGAACATTGAAGTAGGTCCCCCAACTCTAGCTGAAGTTCAAATGGCTATAGCTAATCTGAAACAAGGAAGAGCAGCTGGTCCAGATGGATTGGCTTCAGAGGTCTTTAAGTATGGTGGTCCAAATTCAGCGATTAGGTTGACTGATATTTTAACTAAAATTTAGGAACTGAATATAATCCCATCTGACTGGTCACAATCATTGATTGTCCCAGTATATAAGAAATGGTTAAAATCATCCTGTGATAACCATAGGGTGGATTAATTTGACTAAAATAGCATCTAAAATACTGGCCTCAATAATTATCGGGCTTCTAACAGACTTGTGAAATGCAAACAGAAAAAAATCGGGCTGGCTTCATATCTGGTCGTGGCTGCATCGACCACATATTTACCATTCGTCCGGTTCTAGAACACAGGCATGCTTATCGGCGTCCGACTTTACTTGAAATCAGCATTTGACTCTGTAGACTAACAGGTTCTGGGGCAGTGTCTGTCATTGAAAGGTGTACCTCAGAAGTACATAAACCTTATGAAGGCTCTTTACTCGAACACTACTAGCCGAGTCAGAGGTTATGGCGAACTGTCATCTACTTTTGGAACCTCAAGTGGTGTCCGTCAAGGCTGTCCACTTTCTCCATTTTTGTTCAACTTCATCATAGACATACTGATGGAAATAACATTCTCGTCGACTGAATTATCGGGCATTGACCTCCTTCCAGCAGGTTCACTTATTGACTTAGAATACGCAGATGACATTCCTGTTTGGTGGAGGCGCTGATAAAATGCAGAGTCTTTTGATAGCACTGAGCAAGAATGCTAGGATGTTTGGGATGCTTTTCTCCCCCTCTTAATGAAAGTTGTTGCTCCAGAACTGGCCTGCGTCAACACCTGGACTAAGGATAGGGAGTAAAGTAACCGAATGCGTCGACAACTTCACTTATCTTGGAAGTCTGATCAGTGCCAATGGGTTGGTGTTTGACGAAATCTCCGCATGAATTCAGAATGCTCGTTTAACTTTTGCGAACTTACGTCACCTAAGGTGAAGGAAAGATATCTGTCCATCGATAAAAGGACGAGTATGCTGCTCAGCAGTTTGTTCTGTTCTACTTTAAGGCTGCGAATCATAGCCATCAAGAGTAAGAGATACTCGTAAGTTACTAGTGTTTGATCACGGATGTCTTAGAAATATTGCTCGCATTTGCTGAGATCGTCGAGTAAGTAATATTGAGGTTAAACGCAGGGTATTAGGGAACGGTGGGAAATCAGTTGATGAGGTCGTAAATCTTCACCGTTTGAGGTGGTTGGGCCATGTGTTACGTATGTCTAAACACCGATTACCATGACACGCAATGCTGACTAGTTCTGGAGACGGTTGGAAGAAAGTTAGGGATGGCCAAACCAAAACGTGGCATCAGTCCTTGAAGTCACTGACTTCTGGTCTAAGCCATGTTGGTAGACGCAGACTACTGGTTTGGGGTAGGCGTGACTGTCGTAACCAATGGTTGGAGACTCTGTGTGACATGACTCAGAATCGGTCACAGTGGCGTCGGTGTATACACTCTTTGTCCTCCCTTAAACCGTAAGATTAAAATCTCTCTACATCTTTTATTGCACCAACTGGTTCTTTCTTCCTATACTATACCCTTATACACAATCTTTTTTTTATACATTACTACCATTGAAGTGACTATTTCTGTGAATTAGCTGTTCATCTTGTTGTGCTAATGAGGTGTGGTAACTTGGACCGATGCATATATGTGCCTGGTCCTACGTTGTAGTTGACTGACGGACTCATAAGAGAGATTGGAGTGTCCAGAAGCCTGTATGAGGGTAGAGTGCCAGGGCTACCTGAATTTGAAATACCTAATACCAGTATACCTTGAACTCACAGAGATAGACTGTAAGCGTTGATAGTTTAATATGCATGCCCCACTTGATTTGCTATTGAATTAGTGATAGCATAGTTGTAGGACCAGTTAAATAGTGAGACGTTGGATTTTACTAGCTAGTAACAACCTTGTGACATTTGACATGACTTGTTGGAGTTCAATCGAAAAGAAAACTTTATGAACGTGGGTATGTAAGTTGAGAAACCAGTCAGAGCAGATAGCAGTCTAAAGCTGTTTGAAATCCTCGTAATACGTGTTGTAGTCTTTAGTTGATGACCATTTGTTTTAATTTCATTGTGTGCAAATCTGTTTTTCGCTGCGAACTTATTTTCTGCGTCATTTTCTTTAATTTATTTGTAAGACTGAGTAGTAATGTTTTATTGCCGATAAATGCTTCTAAACGGAAGACTAGTAGCTTCTTCGTAGTGAACTGGGTGGTGCAGTCTTTTTCATACTGTCTTTTGATCGATATAAATTTTTATCCATCAGCTTTCTGGTTATTTTTGAGCGTATATATATAATTTCTATTTAGGCATAATTAATTTACTTAAATGAATCCGGCGGAGCTTGAATTTCTTTCAGAAGAGGAAGGATTGACCATAGTACCTAAGTTTAAACTTGATGCTATTAAGCTGCTCAATACTACTGTAAGTTTTAAAGTTTATGTAAACTTCAAATATTAGATTTTTAAGACATTTTCTTGTTAATCATTGACTTCACTGTTGCGAACTTATGGTTTGTCATTTTGCTAGTTGTGTCTTATAAAATATAAATAAAAACTTTAATAATTATCGTATGTAATGTTATTTTAAAAAAATTAACGGTTAACAGTCAGCTTATATTCCGATGATCCATTTTAGTGTTTTACTTAAAGTTCATACCTTACTCTAAATATTAAGTGCTAATATTATCCCATACTTTCCATCCTCTGATTTTCCATATTTCTGAACTATTTATTTCCAGTGTTTAGCCCTCCACTACCACTGATATTAATTCGAATCTTTTAATTTCCATTTTGTTAATTCCCTATCATTGTGCTGATATAATGTATAGAAAATTGGGTTAATGCACTTTTGTGCCAGATTCTTTTTATTATAGATGACTTTTATTATTACTTTTGCCTTTTTCGACTTCATTGAAGTTAGCTCCTCACATTTCACATGCATATATGAATTAGTGAGCTTACTGTGACTCATATTTTGTGAATATTCTTAAAATCATGGAAAAACAGTAAGAACTGTAAAGCGCAATGTAGTAATTTGTCCGTTGCTTGTTCTTACTAGGTTGAAGTGTGCTTGTTGAATAGAGCTCAACTCAGGATCATTATTTTGTGTACCGGTAACTGAATGTTAACTTTAAAAATGTTGGACTTCATTTATAACTCACTCATATAGTGTGAAGTTTGTGTTTAAAAATTTTGTAATTTAAATTTATTGATCACACTATGTAGGTTTAGAAAATTGTTAATTTAACGCCTTCGTTTTCATCATGTTACATGTAGTAGTAGTAGCAGTAGGTGACTCAGTAACCTTTAGTTTTGTAAGATACCTATTAGCTGATAAGAAACCATCAGGAGTGAGATTATGAATTAATTCAGTATGGCGGTTGTTCAATACAATATTCGGTTATACTTCGAAAGTCTATGCTATGTATTCATTAAGTATGACTTCTAATCAAGTTACAACCATTTACAGTGAATCGAGAATCATTAAAGAAAAAAGATATCTATATGAGTGGTGTATTTTTATTAAATATATTCTTTACAGTCAAAGGCCAGGGTTTGTTGTTCGACATTGCGTGATTATTGAGACATAATGCTCTCAGGGTGTTAATCATACTTTCTATCGGTTCGTGTATTGGCAGTATTAATCTCGTTCTGGTAACCGTGTAGTGAACAAGAACATAAAGCAGGGACAACCAAACGTATTTGAATACGAAATTACCTAATCTCTTAGTGAAGTCTGAGAACCATACAGTAAATAATTATTTTCAGTATGTCCATCAATTTTCTTAAACTTTATTGTTCCTTCATTTCCATACCAATCATTCTCCGTACTCGTTTTCTTCTCTTCGATTTCCTCAACCTTCTGCTGCCATGCATTCCACTTTCGATTGATGATACATACTACTTGTATCTGTTGGCATCGGTAGCACATACCACAACCGTACGGAATCTGCTCGATCATATAATTAGTGGTGTACTCTTAACTTTATTTCTGACCTAACTTACAGTTAACGTGTTAAGTAATATTAACTATTACAAAACAATTTAATTTTTAAATTAACAGATTGGTCCTTTTTTCCCAAATGTGCCAACTGTTGTCCCTCTTTGGGTTGCTCTTTTTCTGAGAGGGCAGCAAAAGTGTCGTATTATGCCACCAGCGTGGTTAACGTTAGAGAAGTTAAATGAGTGTAAAGAAGCTGAAGAGAACGACTCCGGTTGTACTTCTCCTCCTCATTCTCAATACATTGAAATTAGTACACTTCTTCTTCAACACGCGGCTGAAGATATACCGAAGTTAGTGAAAAAACTTTGTTTTAGTAATGTATATATATACCCTAGTTTATCGTAGTAAAACTAAATATGTTGGATATATATTATACATCTACTTCAGTAATGTGTTTTGTACATTATTTTGCCTGTATTCTTGTTTTTAAAAGTGGCTATTGTGAAATTTAAGCACATTTGCTTTAAAAAGAATAGTGATCAGCTTTTCATGTTAGATCTCATCTCATTAGGTGTTCCCTATATCATGCCTGAAACACTCTCCCTGGTTTTTATAAACATACTTTTATAATTTTTACTATTATTTTAGTCCTGAAAGTATTCGCAACATTGTTCGTGATGTATGGGATATTCGTGTTGGGAAATTGTTATCGTCTGTTAATGGTTTCCTCTCTAGTGGATCGTCGACAGCACGAGTTAGTCAATTGACTAATATGGAATTAACCACTTTACATAATCTTCTGGCTAATTCAATGGACCAGTTATCTTTACTACGTCAGGCAACTTCACAAGCTGTAGAATTCGGTGGTAGCGCAGTTAATCGAACATCATTTTTGAATTCATCATCTGTCGGAAACTAAGATAATATGGATTTATCTACTTGTGTTCCTATCATCTATTCGTCCTACTAATCAGATAAATATTATATTTATAACATTTCCTTGTATGTATCTATGACGTAATCGTGTATGAAATTAGTGCTCATCTAGAATTATCTCTTTATGGATTTTCTTTGATTACATGTAAAAGTGCATAGTTGAAACTATTTTGCAGTACATTAAATATAGATATTTCTAGGAAAATTTACTTGTTGAAACTGGATTTTCTCAACGGTGCACTAGTTTATTTGTAGATCATAATCAGGGTAATATTACCGAAATTCTTTAATGTCAATAAGATTTGATTAATAAGTATAGTGTGAATATAAATCTAATTGATTTAATATTTCACTGTATCGTACAAATTTTTAGATGTTTTGGTGTAATCAACAATAATACTGAGACTTTCTTTTGCCTACTTTTTTTGTTTCTGAAAGCCTTCCGAATTATTTTTATCGATAATTCATAATATTGTGTATTTAGTTATTTTATTCAGTATTAATAGCATATTTCAAAATGGTCATTATTTTCTAAATTCATCTAAATCCTTTGTCTAACAGATATCTTTTCGTAGTAGGCACGCTTTCGTAAACTTTTCAAACAAATTTGGCAACTTCATTCATTTTCGCTCATTGGTGCAACAGAATAAATGATTATGATGCTTTTTTTAATGCTTAGTATTTTTTTCATAAATAATACCGATATATTATCTGTAATGATGTAGTTCAATGGTTTAGAAACTTTATTTTCTATGGTTTTTACACTGATTGAAACCTTAACCTGGATTTATCACTTCAGTAGTTTGGCTTCATCGTCAACAGTATTTTAAGTACATCAACTTGGTAGCAATTGAGTAATTACATAGTTCATAGCATATTTTCGTTACTTCTATCATCCCACTACCATCATTATTAATATTAATATTCCTTTGATTCTCATCTTAATAATTTTCTCTTTTATTGTTCTAATATGGAGCTCAGTCATAGTTTGAAGCTATTCAAACACTGCGTAGTTACAAGAAATTACTAATGAAAAGCAATGAAATTACAGTGGAATAGTGGTTTTAACATAGTTTGTTACTTCTTACATGCTAAACTATCAATTACGATAAATAAAAAAATAAGTTTAGATATTAGGAGTTGGGTTGGTGTTGGAAGTAAGTTATAATGCTATGGAATTTTCGCCACCAACTAACGTCGGTTTTAATGCAAAGAGCTTAGGGTTAGGTTGTAGTCACTCTAAATTTATGTATTAGGATTATGAATTAGGGTTAGGGTTTTCATCATGAACTGTAACCAACTACAATACAGTGATTTTTTGTCACTTCTGTTTACAAACTTAAAAAGACTTTGAGTCGAGATTTGAATTTGGGAGTTTGGGGGGACACTGCTATCTAGCTACACGGACACCATTGGCTGTACTGAATTATATCATGCACTATAAAATACTTTTTTGATTAACCGGTTAATTAGCACAAAATCTGTTGTAGAGCAGGTATTTTTTGTAATTCAGCCTAAACATAATCTCATGTTAACTGTATGGTTGCGCATTAGATACTTTTTTAAATCAATCTCAAGCAATGCATTGCCAGTTTTCACTAAGTCAAAACATAAAAGGCTATCTAGCAATATGCTCTTAATTTCACTCAGAAATATACGAGAATCTGATTAGTTTACTTTTACTTAATGGAGAATACAGAAACTTGTCAATTTAAACACTACAGCAGTTACTAAAACCTAGCACAATTTTATGAAGCCAGTAATTTGTTTGATATTAACTCATAAATTGTGTAAATTATAACGGTTACAAATTTCTCCCTTGGGTTTATTTTCGGTAGCGTCATCCCCCATAACTTTTTATCTTAGCTTACTTTCTATATGATATTTAGCAAATGTTTGTAGCTACATTATTGGTATCATTCTTTACTTATAATGAGATTGTAAGAGGTGACAGTTAAGATATTGAAAAGTATTCAGCGAAAGTACATCAACGGTTTGTCTTTTTTGCTAATATAATTCGTACATGAATAACAATAATTTGTTGTGATAATATGATGTTTCACTACTTCGATCAAGTAACTCCGTAAACTGTTCAGTAATCTTCACTCTTTCGTTTCTCGATATTACTATTTCATTTCAACCAAACAATTTTTTTCTGAATTGAAGTCAAGATGCGACGTACTTTGTCTTAGCGTCTCCAGCAGAATTTTCAAAACAATCTAAATTTAATCTGTTGTAATGCTGAATTTAATCTATCCTGAGCTCTGACTGTACAGAGAAATGTGGTTTATCGAATTAAAAATTTAAGGATATTTGTTGATCGCCATATAAAACTTGATGGTGTCAATTAAAACGTTTAGTGTTCCCTGACTAAAACAATGTTAACTAAACGTCCAAAAACAGTTTTGCAACAGTACACAGCACATCCTTTTGTCACAGAGTTCTTTCGACAAAACTACGTCTATCAATACTATTTGTTTCATAAAAAGAGAATTGGTATGATAACTTCAGACTGTCTAATGATAAAACTGAACATCCATAAGCTGAGGTGTTACTGTGGTATTTGTTCTTTATTACGCGCTGACTACGAATTACAATACGGTACGTTCAGGCATGGTCAGGACGTTGGGCCATGGGTTTTCGGGCACATGTCACATATTGTCGAGGTTTTCGGATGTCGTTATCTATCAGCTAATAACAGCATTTGTTTCCGTCTCACGTCAATTTTCATAATGTTTGTGCTTGTTACATAACTTTTATTCCAGTTTACTAGTTGTTTGACGTATTTGTTGCTCACAACCTTGAGTGTTTAATCAGCCTAATGTGGTTATTTGTAACAGTGCAAACTGGGACAAGTGAAATTCGCCATTTATCAAGTCAAAAATAGACCGCGACAATGAGCTCTAAGACCTTTTACATTTGATGGTGATAAACATGGATGTTGGTAGTTGCTTATAAAATGTAGATTGAAGCAATCAATGTTATGTGACTTGTTAATATACAGCCATAAACAGTTCTATCCATTATAAGTATAACCGCCTTCGACTGAACTGATATATTATTATGTAACGTATCCGAGAAAAATTATATGAGTAACAGTTGACGTTGTTAGCCTTTTCCGCCTGCTTTATGAACATATACAGGAACTGTGTATAACATTACTGTAAATCCCACACTAACTAGTCACATATTCTTCATAAGTAAAGCGATGCACGTTTGTTTTGAGAATACAAACTTATCCATCTCGCAGTTAATCCTAATTTATGATGTGTCTCTTATAGGGTTTACGAATGAATTTCTGTAAACAGGATCCACAATCACTGATCAAATTATAAATAAAGTTTTAATACACATTGACGATTGATATTATTATTATTAATGGCTTTATTCAATATTATCCAAATAGTGCCTACCAGTTATGTCATTATTGTATCTAAACAGTGAATTGCTAGTAGTATTATGAACGTTGTGATTGGGTTTCTCTCAGATTTCATATTAATAATAAAATTTCTGAATCCGTATATTTTGTGCCTGCAGTTTCTTTGTTGATACCAAATAACTAGGTGGAATTCTAGAAGGGTTAGAAAATGAAGAACACTACAACAAGTAAGACACTTATAGGTACATTCTGCTATTTCATTTATTGAATTTGATACTGATAACGAAGTTTAGTCGTTTGTTTTTCGGAATTGCATGAAGCTGAGAAAGTCCTTATACGTTTTCTGATACGCAACTCACGGTTTCCGACAACGGCTCAAACCTTCCTAATAATCATGTCCATGCCAGTGAACAACTTAGCGAGTTTCTTAATATGAAAGATTATGTGTAGAAAAAATTTACAAGTTAACGACAACTGTTTTATATTGACTACTGCCACATCCCTTCATCTAATGAATTATTTAAATATAAATATAACAACTATACTCAGCCTTTTGTATTGTAAATCCTGTTAGTATTTATAATTGTAGTCTAGTTCGGTACTAATACTACTTTGATAATAGACCTATTCTGAAAACGGTTAATTTGTCATATGGTTGCCTAACCTTGCAGTCTGTAAAACTGTGTAGGTTCAACCTCGTTTTGAATATATCAACAGAAGGTGCTGATATTACGTGTTCCGGTAGAGGATTCCAGTAATTTACCACTCTGCGAGAAACGAAACTCAAGACGTAAACTATTTGATCTCAGTTTTTAAACTTTCTTCGAATGTCCTCTCAAATGATCAGCCTTAGACGGAAGTAAAAGATAAGACATGTTAATACCAAGGTCATCGTTCAGTATACGATAAGCCAATATTAGATCGCTTCATATTCTACGTTAAGATAACGGAAATAAGTTAAGGTGTCTCAGTCTGTCTTCATAAGATAGGCCAGATAGACCTTTTACCATCTCTGTACCTCGTCGTTGGACTCTTTCCAGCATATCTGCTTCATACTTGAAACAAGTACTCGCTGCTTGAATCCCATATTCTAAATGTGGTCGTACGTATATCGAGACCGTCTGACATTTTCCCCGTAATATTCGTTCATTTTTGCGCACCTAGTTCGGCCTGCTTTGAATTGCACTATATCGGATATATTCGGCACATTTATTCGAATACTTTTTATCATGATACTGGAGTCGCGTTGTAGTCAAATGTTGGACAGTTGAATGCCTTTGATGACCACGCATTCATGTACAATTTGTTAGCTTTGAATACAGAGAGAAGTCAGTTTCAAAAAATGATCAGAAAAATAAAGACTTTATACTTGGACTACAGGAAAGGCCCGTGAAGTGCGATTCTGGAGGCCAGTTAAAAATTCAACTTCGTGATCGCTTGGTTTATTTTTTGATAAATATTCTAAATTTAGAAAGAGAACTAATTCAGAAATCCAAAAGCTCAGTCCAAGAAATTAAAACACTATGTGTTAACTATGGGGGAGGGAATGAACTTGATTCCCAGTCTGTGAAGATTTCTAATAATGTGCTTATTCGTCGTGATGAACCACATTCTCAGGATCGCTCAAGCTCGCGTTTGTTTATTAGTGATTCTCATTGTCTTGGAGATATAAAAAATGATTCAACAAAGAATTCCAAAGCAGGTTGTATAGGTAAGCACATATTTGGTGAATGTTCATCCCGTGGTAAATTTCACTTGCGCAACTCATATCCTTCGTCAAGCCAAATACTTAGAGCCCAAATGTTGCTGCTACCTTGACATAGTGGTCGGGCTTACCCATCATGATGAACCGATTGGGCTTTACTGGCTAGAATAATCTGTGACACGTATATTCACTGATCTTTTAACAACAAAGTGAAAACCACATTTTTACTTATTTGTTACAATTCAAACGTAATCGCATTTATATTCTATATCTATTGTTTCTCCATATCAATTTTAAAGTAACTGACATAATTGTTTGGTTAAGTAGGTGTTTAGGTGGATGTCCAGAAGTGTTAAGGATACTGTAAGCCATCAGAAGGTCACCTCTAAGACGCCTATACTCTAACAGGTAAAGGTTTAGTGATTGGAGGCGCTCTTCATAAGGCCTGAATTTGAGATTACAATTTGAATTTTACAATAGTTTTATAACATCCTTTTAGGCCTTCCTACACTGCGTTGGAGTTTTGTCCCGGATTGTTATTAAATAATTACCGTTGGTGCCACAATGTGCAAAGGAATTTTTAAGCGAATGAGCTCGTTCATGATTGTTATCCCATAGAGCAGCTTACAAGTAACATTTATTTCATAACAACTGTGATCATTTTGTTATTTAATATACCATTTATATTGTAACTGTAATTTTGTTACCTGTTGATCTTCTCACAAACAGAGAGAATTATAGTGTAGTTCTTTTTGATGTATCATTGGTAACTTTGCGTATTGTTATATCCTGAATAAGCTCTTTTATGTATAGTGACGAATATCATTCAACTGACTCCTCAACAATGATCCGTGCTTTAGCGATTTGATCTGTTCGCGACCGATCCTTTAGGAATCCGGTCCGTTGATCTCGGAATTGGGCGTCTACTGAATCCTTTATCCGGTTCAGCGACACAGTTAAAAAATTCCCCTGATACCGGTAATAGTGTGATGCCTCTGTAGTTTTCACATTTCCTCATATCCTTTTTTGATGTCTTGATGAGATATCCTTCTTTCCAGTCTGTCGGTACCTGTTCCTCCTCCCAAATCTTCCTGAATAGAAGATGGCGTATGTTTGCAGTTGCTTCTATGCCTGACCTCACTGATTCAGCTGGCATAATATCAGGTCCCAATTTCATTCTACTCTTGATTTGTCTGGTGGCCATCATGATTTTTTTGAGAATGAGCTATAGGAAGGTTTTTAAATGCTGCCTCAATGTCCGGTTGGTTCAATAGAGCTAGCCTGTTCATGAGGTCCTCGAAGTAATCTACCCATCTGTTCCTTTGTTCTTGAAACTCAGTGTTTGGTTTGCCTTCTTTGTCTTTGACAGGTCTACCTGCTTTGCTATATTTCCCTGTTAGTTTCCTCGTTATATCATATAGTTGTTTTATGTTTCCTCTTCTTGAAGCTTTTTCTGATGTCGTTGCTGGGTGTTCCACTGAATTTTGCTTTCCTGCTCTAATGCTCCGCTTCACTTGTTTGTTTGCTCCTGTGTTTTCAGCTTGTGTATTAACCTCCTCTGCTCTTATTCGAGTGTCATATAATGCTGTTTTCTTGTTATCCCTTTCCTGATTTTTTTTCCAGGGTTTCCGTGGAGATCCATTCCTTATGATGATGCGTGTTACGGCCCAATAATCCCTGACACGTTGAAGTTAGTGTTTCTTTGACACCTTCCCAATTGTCGTCTATCGTAGTTCCTTCTCCTTTCTGTACATCTTGTAGGGTCTGGAACCTGTTGTTGAAAATTATCTTGAATTTGTTGAGTTTTTTAGTATTTTTAAAGAAGGCTGTATTGAAAATGTGTTTCCCCAAATGTCCAAGGTTTCTTTAGCAAAAGTTTCATCTTGGCCACAACCAAGTGGTGATCTGCAACTACCTCAGCTCTTCTCTTTTTTCTGATGCCTTCCATCATCATGAATTTTTTCCAGTGTTAATGTGATCTATCAGGTTCTCTGTGGTGTGATCCAGTGAAACCCAAGTAACTTTGTGTAAGCTTTTGTGTAGGAATATTATGCCGCCTATAACCATTTTGTTGAATGGAAATATATTTGCAAATCTCTCCAAATTTCCGTTTCGCGGACCCAATCCATGTCATCTCTTGATATCTTCATATAAGTTGTTGTCCATTCCGACTTTTGGTGTTGACGTCTCTTATTCGGATGATTGGGTTCTTTGCTGGGAAACTGTCCAAGATCGATTGCGGCCTGTCATGAAACTGATCTTTATCGTGTTCATAGCTGTCATTGGTGAGTGCTTAACATTGGATGACATTCATCATGATTCCCTTCTTCTTTGTTTTGAAGAATGCTTTGATGACCCTGGATCCATTAGATTCCCATCCTATAAGTATATTTCGTGTTTCTAAGTATAGTGCAAGTGCAACTCGTTCTTTATGCGGGCTGTTGCCTTCTGCATGACCAGATCGTAACACAATCCCTCCCGAATTTTACTTCTTTTGTTCAGCCTGGGGTCCAAGAAACGTGAAGTTACACCTCGTCGTTTTCGTAGTCCTTTGATTGGTCATCTCGATCTCCAGTATTGTTAGTTCATTGTATATATTTTTTTAATTGTTACTCTAGTTCTCAGCAATGAGTCGAAGATGCCACAGGTATTCGGAATTTGACAATGCTTTAACCAGTAACACTTAATATGAAGCGTACCCATCATGTGAAATCAAAAGCAGAAGTGAGGAGGTCCGAAGATATATTTGATAGGCTATCAATATATCGAGGATCGTCTGATTTAATCTGGCTAGCGATTGCAAGGGTTGTTGAGCACGGCGTTCTCACTCGTGATCTGGTGCTGATGCATGACCGAGCGCCTTCAGCTAAGTGAGTCCACTGAAGTTAATATGGTCAGCATCCAATGTCGAAAACTTACAAAGCTATTTATTTTGCGTATTTGTTTACCGCTCCAGGATCAACACTGTGACTTCGAAAAATCTCGACTTCCACCATGAGGCGTCATAGTTCATCCGAATGAAGATTACGCGACTCGTGGGTCAGAGTTCAAAATTTTTCTCCGGCTAAATTTTTATGACAATGTTGTTCAATACGGGATAAGGTTGCGGACCTTATGAATAACATTCCCTCTGTTTGTCCTGGCTTTGAACTGACAGAAATACCAGAAAGGTCACAAGCTGAACTGTTAGTATTACAACAACACTCAAATTGAACTTTGTAAGGCAAATAGTTACCTTCTCGTGTAGAATTGAAGATATATCTACTCAAGGTCAATACGTCAGGTGTTCACTAAAACTTTATCAAATTATGACTTAATGGTCTGCGATTCCGATAATAAAGTGCTGCAAAAGCTGAAGATTTACTTCAAGAGATGCACTGGAATACTTCCTTATTCTATGGTTTCTCTTGACTCATCTAGGTTTGATGTCCTTGTGATGGCGAAATTTTGTTAAAGAATTGTTGTTTTATTTTTCGCATCCGGTGGCTTAGCTCTTTTAGATGCATTGGACAGTGTGGATAAGAATGAAATCATAGAATTTATATACTCTCACCAAATATTGTCAACTGGTTTGATTTAATTATAATACTTTGTGTTAATTTTCAGATATTCAAGACAAGGGTGGCTTCAGAGGTTCAAATCTCATCGGTTGTTCTTCAGATCCTGAAGAAGTAAGACTATATTTCAATGAATACAAGTCTGGCTAGAGTTTTCGAATAGATCTTATTGATGTTAAGCAAAATTGTTGACATTTGTTAAGTTGCCTGTAATTCTTCTTTCAAGTATTTACTATCAAGTTTTCTAGTTAAGGAGCTTATTCGCAACACATCTTATGCGGAGTATTTTATGGTTCTGCAGATCTTTATCACCTAATAGCTCGTAATTTCCTAGAAAACTATCTATCTACCACATGCTCCCAAATGCCTTGGTATGGCCGAGAGTGGGGTAGGCCTGCTCTCCCTCTCGAAATGCTCACACACGGCCACGCGTATACAGCCTCTGACAGGGCAGTCCTACTCACTGCCTTCTCGTGGAGGAGGTGTTGTCTACAAAATTGAGAGGACGAAAAGCGAATGTCCGGCGCATTAACTGGATTCCAAACCAATGGTGCATACGGGCTTCAGTATCCTGCAAGAACAAATGGCGTATGAACCAATCGTCGTTCACCGCTGCCATGGGACCGCATCTCCTCACGATGCCCCACTCCCTTATGGATCAGACCTTTAGGTTAAAGGCTCGGGGTGTGGCCCCCTAAGAAAACCGCCTGTTTCGGTCTGGGCACCCAGGCAGTATCACAGCTTACACACACAAATATGGTGTGGCGCATATATATTTGGTACCCTTTTGTACCAATATTTATGTGTTGAAATAAAATAAAATAATCTACCACGTCAGGTCGGTCAAGAAGGTCTTGCTTGATACTCAAGGATATCTGCGTTTTCGTTCTACGTGTGTTTTACATTTCAATCACTAATGAATATCCAGTTTGAGAAGTCTCTACTGTATAGGGCTTGTATCCCCTCAAAATAAGCTACGAATACCGTGATTTAGAGCTTTGCTGTGAAATAAATAATTGTCATATGTTTGTTCACCAGTCTAGACTTTGCTGATCATAATTAAGTCCATATTTTCCTTTTACGTGGTCTTGCGAAACGTTCTCTGCTATCACTAATTTCCGGCGGTTTGATAAGTTTGTATTTATGGAAAATACGTATTTATGTATAAATTATGATTAAACGTTTTGGAATAGAGAATTGAAGGGAGATTTCCTCGACTATAAGTAGTTTAATTAATAAAATAAAAACGTAATTGGAATCGTCAATTTTAAGAGTTCTCCATCAAATCAGGATCTATAATGTTAAGATTTATAATCGAGAAAAGGAACAATTATTTAACTGCTCCTTTCATATATCACAGTTCTCGAGTGCTTTTTACTTTAATACATCGATAATGAAATTTTTATTTATTGAGATCATGAACCGATCAATGCTAGTCTACCATTAAAAACCTAGAGGGACTGGATGGCCGTTTCATCCTTGTATGGGACTCTCCAAGAGTGCATATTCGCGATCCCATATGAGGGACTCGGACTCAGGGTCTCTGGTATCGAGCGAACACCTAACCTCTCGACTGTTGAGCTGGCATCGAGACGTGTGAGGTATTTACCTACTGAAGATAATAAAAGATGACCGCACAGTGTCGTGAATTGGTTGAAGTTAAGCATTAACACCGTTAAATTCCGGCCCAGTGGTCCATAGGTCAAGTTTTCGCGCAAGACCTAAGGTCCTGGGTTTGAGTCGCGCACGCGGAATCTTGGATATGCACTACTGATTTTCATACTAGAACGAAACTGCCGTCCAGTTCTTCCAGGTTTTCAGTGATGGTTTGGCATTGATCGGTTCATGAATTTAACAAAGATAGCAATCTCCACAGCCCTATACTAATAATAAGATGCTTACTAAGGAGATTTTTGGTATTATTATGAGACTAGTGAACTATCCGTCCTAACTAACACCAACCTTTTTCTATCGAGAAGTTAGACTTTTAAGATATTAGAGAATATTACAGGGAATTCCATTTTTACACCAGTTACCGAGTACTGTGTGAATGAAGTAATGTGCAGGTATATGCACTCTAAATAGGACGGTTATTTGTGAAAGCCACCGTGTTCTTAATAGAAATCGACCGTTTTACTACTTTCAGCGCGTACGACACAAGGATCTAATCGTATATATCTGTCCGTTCATACAGTTCGTTCCAGACAGTTAATACATCGTAATTTGTGTCACCATCTTGAAACACCGACTTTGGTGGCTTGGACATGTTCTACGAATGTCGTCCCAGAGAATTCCACGTCGTGCATTATTTGCCGGCTCTGGGACTGGTTGGAGAAAGCGGGGAGGTGGTCAGTACATGACATGGTGTCGTGGCATGAAAGGAAGCTGCAAAGGACTGGCTTGTGTCGGTCCTTCACGACTCCCTGGTTGGGGTCCGAAAGATGATGCTACACAGTGGCTAGCGACGTTATCAGATATGGCTCAGAATAGAAGCCAGTGGCGATCCTGCTGTAACCTTCTTTTACTTTCTTCATAAAAAGTGGTTGTCACTTCCTTAAGTGAAAGAATTCTTCTGGTTGTACTTTTCCGTTTCCCACATTATTATTATTACACTACCTTACACTAATCTGTTCGTTATTATTCCTTTTTACGCTCCTTACCTCCTTTTCCTCTCTTCGAATTCTCACTGTTTTGTGTGGCGCACATATATTTGGTGCCGTTTTGTACCAATATTTATGTGTTCAAATAAGTAAATAATTTGCTTAGTAAAAATGGAATATTTTCCGAATTATTATCTTAGCAACATAAAATTGGTTCAAAAGTTAAGGAGTTTTACACCTTTGCACTCGTAGGAAAATGAATTTACTCTTGTCTATTGTTGAATGTTTTGTTGTATTAAATGACTGGTATATTATGTTACCAGTTGTCTTCGAAAGTTTGTTGATTCATCCGGCCGTTCTTAGCAGCACACTGAACTTCTACAAGTTTCTATAGTGCGGTAAATTTTACCTTTGGTTAATAACTGGTGATTAGTTAAGCCGCAGTTTCGCCTGACATACCTGATTAATTCCCAGATTTAAGTGATTTATCTTATTCCCTTAGTACTACCTTTGTTAATAATTCTAAGCTATAGTCAGGAGACCTAGTTCGTGAATGTACATAGCTGTCAGATTGCGTCATTCGTATGGATATTTACTCATGAAATCAAGCCAGCGATATAAAAACAGTAGGGATCCAGCCGTAAATACTGTCTTAACTAATCGAATTTGGTTGACAGTGACATCCGTGGTTTGTGTCTAGGTTTGATAACTAAGTATATTTATTTTGTAGTATTTTTTAAGAGGAATAATTTAATAAACCTTTAAGTACTAGGTCAACAGTAACACATCCTTAACTAAAGTTAATAATAATGCTTAGCAGACTATATGTGAAGTCTTGTTTGTTGTCCTATCCGAAAGGTAAACTACATTTCTCAAGTTACAATTTCTTGTTCGGCCCACTCAATCTAACTCTATAGTTTTTCTTATTCAGGCTAAGTTGGTCCGTTCGAAGTATGATGGAAGCCACGTAACAATGGTTTATTCAGCTCTTTCCACGTTGTTGTTACTTGGTGATAACTTATCTCGTGTAGACAGACGCGGAACTCTGGCTGGATTATCGGCTATGCAGTGCTCAGATGAGCCTGGCTTGTTCAAAGCAGGAGATATATGTGGGGAACGCGATATGCGTTTCGTATTTTCTGCAGTTGCCAGCTGTTATATTTGAATGGACTAGATTCTATCAATTGTGAAAATGTTGCTGATTTCATCTCAAAATGCCAGGTGTGTAATTTTCCATTGGTTCTCTGATCCTAATTAAAAGGCGCTTCGTGTTTACTGTGGAAATAGGCGATAAATAAAGCGCATATTCACGGTAGACCTAACAATCCTTGATAGTCAAAACCAAAAGACCTCATTTTACTAGCTAACAATTTTATTGTTGGAAAGAATGTCCGATCACACTACAAACGTTAGAGTTCTTCCTGTCGTTAGATGTACCTTTTACTTTTATTCAACTTTTTAAGCAGTCACATGATCTATGTATTCTTGACCACATGACTATATATATATACTTTCCATATTTTTATCTATCCACACAATAGACTTACCAAGGTGGATTCGCTAATTTACCGTATTTGGAAGCACATGCTGGAGCTACTTACTGTGCAGTAGCTAGTTTGTCTCTTATAGGTAAATTAGAATCCGTTATCCCATCTGGATCCAAGTCACGAGAACTGTTGATTAAATGGCTATTGAACTTACAAGAAGAAGGATTTCATGGGCGTGTTGGTAAACCAGATGATACATGTTACACATTTTGGGTCTGTGCTAGTCTTAAGGTAAGTCTTGTAACACTCACTTTTCGCCATAATCCTATGGAATTCTGTTGATTTACATTTTGATGCATGTATAAAAAGTATACAACCGCCCATCTCGAATTTTTTTAGATGTTTATTCTCTTATGTTGGGTTTGTGTGGTGCATAAGTGCTATTATGTTACCACTTAGCATTTCAATTATATATTAATTCGATGCCAAATAGCTATTCAATGTCTAAATCATATTATAAAGTTAAAAGCTATTTGTGAGAAAATGTGTTGTAAATATTTTATAAATAAATTCCCAACAAGAATCTAGTTACGATACTGTAGATTGCTCATTTTCAAGCGTAATATGAAACATTCGTCTTGTAGAAAAGATGTGCTTGACAGTTTATCGGCGACTGTTTGGTTACAGAACGAAAACTCACTAGTTGTTGAATCATTCAATTAACAACTGACTTAAAATCCTGCTGAACTGCAGTTAGTGTTGCATACGTAAAGCATCACTATTTACGCGTAGCTGAAATTTTTAGCATTGATAAATATTTTGCTTCGAAGTTTCGTGTAGTATATTGATTGTACGAGTGGCCAGTGAGTTTAAGGTTACGTCACACATTGATATCACTTGTAAATGCATTCAGTAATAAAAACTTCCTAGTCAATAATATTGCTGTAGGTTAACATAATTTGAATTGGGTGAATTTATCAACCTCAATGTTTTAAATCATTTCTTTAATAGATACTAAACTGTCACCATCTGGTCGATAAGAACTCAGCTGTTCGTTTTGTAACAAGATGTTGGAATGATGTTATTGGGCATTCACAAAGACTCCTGACCAGTTTTGTACCCCAGGTAAAAGCCTAGCTGTTCTCATACCCTACTCAGTGCAACTTATTAACTTCCTTACTAAGTGTTTTTTGCTTTCTCAAAGTGTTCTCTGCATGTTTGAAACAATTTCCAAACTTAAACTATACGAAGGGGCTACACGAGAAACAATATCTCTACACTTATGACTTCTCGTTTTATTTTGCGTTGTCACGAACCGTCCATGTTGACTTTATCTAATCGAAGATAGTGGGTACCACAAAACAAATTAATCTATCACTCGATATTTGGAATGCACTTGACCTGTACATAGTTTATTTTTGTACTCCCTTAATGAAATAGGCCTCATCAGTCTTGAAATTGATATCTGGACCACACAGTTTCTTTAAATGTATTGTTTATTTGTTAGTAATTGTAAATTCTTCCGTGACAATACTAAATAACGTACATCACAAAATAAATCATTATGAAAATTAAGTTAGAGAACTTAATTTTGAGTGTCTGCTAGTTAGGTCTGGGCTTTCTTCTAATAAACAGCAGTGTGAAGTGCTGTATGATTTAAAAGATCGAAGTCGTTCACAATAGCGGATATGTACTTATTCTTGATCTCGAATTTCAGTACCACTTCACACAGAATTTTCCAGTCGGTTTACTCTTTCTTATCACTGCTTATTTCGATATAATTCGCAATTCATCTTATTTTTATTTCTTAATGCTAATGTGCCATGACAACTTAGAACAAAGTACATCTGCCTCAAGTTTTATGTTGGTGATATTTGTGTGACAAAATTCAGTGTTTCTACAGGATATAATTTCATAAGAAGTATACTTAGTATATTTATTTTTTGGTGACTTATGAAATATGGTTTATTTGTAATTTCCTTGTTTTTTTAGATCCACTTCATACTTACCTTTCTCTTTCTGGCTTATTATGTTTATGTCCAAGTGACATTTTAAAAACTGACGACGATGTAAAATCAATGGATTCAGAATCATACGTGTATCGTAACTTACAAGAATTACTAAATTCAGACGGACTTCTTACTGTTTATCCAGAGTTAAATATTCCTGAAAGATATCATCAACGTTTGAAACAGATTCATTTGCAGTGGAGTAAAAAATAAACATATCGTTTCTACAGTGATTTTTGTGAAACCAAGTTTCAGCCAGTACTAAATCACCATAAAGTCGAAATATTTTTATTGTATTTTTCCTTTTTAATAAATGTTATCTGAAGTCACTTTGTGTACTGAAGTATTGTCTGTACGCGAAATATTGATTTTGCATGCATGTTATGTGTACAGTTTGGGATTTTTTTACTAATGTAACACCCGTTAGCAATAGTTCGTACACTGAGATTACTGTAACATTAAGCCGTAGTACCCTTACGTAATATACTGATCATGTAATTCTCATGCTTATATTTTTTAACTCCATTTCCTTGCTGATCTGAAGTAACTGCCACAAAATGTTAGCTAAGAGTATCTGCGATTAATGTAACTTCCGTTTGTTAAGTTCATATTAGACTGTTTCCTCACCAAACCAGGTAAATTGTTTGTCTGCAAAGCGTTCACTAAGATAAAATAGTCAGTCTTAAATTTTGACAGAACGTTGGCATGGGATACTAATGTCAAAATCGAAACATCAGTCAGTATAGTTTTACGTCAGGTGAACTCTTACTAATTGCAACATATGACTAACGCAGGAGATAATTAGAAGATATTTTTAGCTTATGAACAAATTTAAACACAAGTTTTACCCACCTAGATAGTTCAGTAGTATTCCAAAATCTCCCATTTTTTCCATACTGCTTACAAAAATCGTCTAATAGTTTGAGAAAAATACATATACTTAAGATGGTCGTCAGATTATTATTTTTGTATTTTTATCGTTTAAAATGGACTGAAGTTCTTTCCTATTCTATTTGAACTTACGCGTGTGTAAATCGCAGGTTTACTGATTCAGTCGTTTCACTCGTATATTTCCCAGATGTCTTACATTTTGTACAACTATGAAATACAAACCAAGAATCGTAGACATTATATTCCCAAAACCAACAGTATAGTCATACGATGAATTTTGTAGCGTAGGTATCCAGATTATTTTGATCACCTTTGATAATTCAATATTCATAAATTATATGAGTACATCTTTCAGTAAATGAATATAAATTATTTGTATTAACAACCATCCGTTCACTTACAAGCTTTAATCAATATAAAATATCTATTTATTTTGTTTTGTTTTATACACATGTCATGGAGTGAGTGTACATGGGTTTATTACGAAAACTGAATTTCAATCATTCTACTATATGCACTGTATCCAATTGGTTAATACGTCTATGGAGACGAAACTATTTTCCAAATAGTGATTCTGAACCAGAACCTCCACACCGTTCCTACTGTTGTGAATCTGGATGCGCAAACTGTGTGTGGATTGAATATGCAGAAAATCTATTTAAGTACCACATAAAGAGAATCGAGGAGTCAAATGATAACATCGGTATTAAGGATAAAGATGAGGTTTTTGGTGAAATTGTAAACAAGCTCCAGAAAGAGATTAATCAGATTAAAGATCCAAATGTGAGGGTATTTTACTAACAGAAATAGCAGTAAAACAGGAGGAACTACTAGAAGCGCTTCAAAAAAACACGTAAAGATTCGACAACTAGATGTTTTCTTTGAATAATATGCTACTTATTTATCTTTGAATAATTTAGTCGTGTTTTAATATATACTTATAAAACATGACTTTTGGTACAATACAGAATCACAATATGTAAAATGATACCTCGGACAAAGCAGAAGAGGGGATGATCACATAATTAAGAAATAAATGAAAAAGAACAGTAATTACTTTGATGTATACCTCTTTTAAGAAAAAAAACGCAGGACATATTTCATTTAATCAGGAAGGTGCATCTCACTTTATGAAGGTTATATATATAGTTACAGTCGGATCACCATTATTTTTTCGGACCATCCCGAATAAAACCACAACACAGCGAGTTAGTGATTTTTTGGGCCCATCGAAGTTTCGGTGGATTGAAAGATGGGACTTTTATAGAGGGATCGTTAGCTAGTTACTTCCACTTTCTGAGCTCAATTGAGGAATCTTCAGAAGATATGTGACGCTTAATCCATTAAGATGATATTCATATAGTATACCCACGATACCTAAGCCGATGCTTCAAGATCGTATAAACACAACAATTATAATCACTCAATTGAATACATTGTACGACTTTGGGATTACTCATGTAGTGTTCTTACCGAATGTGAACAATCTTACAGACTAGGGTCATTTTCCATCAGAGCTCATCTCACAGACACTGTATAGTCGACATTCTACGAGCGAAAGTGCTTCTGGGTTTCATCATATTAAATTTGAGCACGTGCCATCTGGTTTCGCATCCTGACTTATGTGAAAGGATCTTTGCCAATATGAAACCAGTAAGACTTAGTTGGAATAGGCTATAAACGTACGGCCGTATGACAGTAATTCGGGAGGAAAAGCACTTTAGTCACTTTCGATTATGTCAAGGTAATTGGAGGTCTGGCATATAAGTCAGAAAAGAGCTCAGTACAGAGATCCAACGTCCTTTATCTGAAGTATGATGTCCTTGTCTTGGTCACATGCATACTCGTCACTTCTAGTGTACATTTAAAAGGGAGAATGAGAAGTGCTAATATTAGGCATAAAGTACTAGTAGATAGTAGTCTGACTACCCACAACTGTGATTAAAAGACCTGCATGATAATAAATTAAGAAAAAGCAAAAGCAGCTAGGTCAGACATCCTACCGGCTTGGGAAGTCACCACATGTTAGTCTAAGGTGTGCCAGGTGCTGTCTGCTTGATAATCAATGTCTACGGTTGAAGGGTTTCCGTTACACGAGGTCAAATCAATAACAAGTATCAAGCGAAAATATACAATAGAGAATTTTCCAAAATCTGCGATATGTTGTGCGCTTTATGATTTAATTATTTAGCAACTGTAATTGTACTGAGTCATATTTCTTACTCATGATTTCATAAGACCGTACGGAACATCTTAATAGGGCTATGATATTAAGCAGACTTAACGCGAACAGCGTAATATGGTTTCCAGTAACAAGATGGACCATGGTTTGATTTTAAGCCTGTCTTAGTATTCTAAATAACATTCTGTTAAATAGATAGTCGAATGTATCTACAGAAAAAGATCTGTTAAAAAAGGTTCAAACTCTCCGTAGTGGAGTTTGACTCAATAAAATAATATTTTTTTCTTTTGGACGTAAAGTAGCATATATACGTAACTTGGTTTTAGATTGCCCTTATCACATACATATATATATGTTAGTCCGATATAACTTACGCAAAAAATGTCGTTACATTCACTTTTGATGTATATGCTCAAAAGGTTATTTCTATCTAGTACGTAATCATCCCATTGACATTTGGTTGTCTACTCTTATCAGTTGTGGAGAGATATTGAATTATGTATAAAATATTTCGCAATTAGATTAATAATGAACACAAATACTTTGAAGCAAAAAAAGGACAAAAAATGATTTCAAACTGCCCGAGAAAAACGAAAAATAAGTTCATTGCTTTGACTAAAATCTAGTTTAGTACTTACATATAAATGCTTTGTGTAGAAGAAAAATTACCCGAATCAAGAAAGTATTCATAAAATCTGGATCGACTAAAGTTTAGACGATAATTGTGCGTGTTCTACGAAGTCTGGAGATTAAAAAAGCATTGCTGTTCAAAAGATTAGGTAATCAAGCTGTACATACATTTTCAATGTAGGAAAATTAATAAAAAGATATTTACCAATTTTGATTTAAAATACACAATTTGTGGTGCTAGGATAAGAACAATTATCACATCCATTGTTCAGATGGCATCATGGCAATATCTAACACACGCCACGCTGCTAGTGGGTTCATTTCACTTTGATCACGACACAAAGCCCAAACATTTGTCACACGTAATACTTTATTTGGATCACCTTCATGTAGATTTCTGTTTTTGTCACGAATACAATTTATCTGTTGTGCTTGGAATGTAATTATCAGCACTGGTCCTTGCTCCATCATTTTGCCCATTTGAACCTAGAATCAGCACGATGAAAACTATGCAAATTTTCGAACCACAAAACTATGAATTTCAGTCAAATTAAAAATATCTAATTGTTAATCTGACTATACAAACTGATACAGAATAAATGGGATGTGGCTTGCAATGCACCTCGTATTATTTGGGACTCGTCATCTGGATGTACCTGGACCTGAGCGGATGTTCAAACTGGGACTCGGACACATTACGATTCGCTTCGAATGCCAGCACCTTATCTAATTATCTAACGAGACTGGACAGTCAATCATACAACGGATATAATACTTAATCCAATTTGAAATGGCTTAGATTATCCCGTTATTGATAATTTCGACGGAGATTTGATCAGTCTTGGTTGACTGTACAAAGATCATATAGAAAGTAGTGTATGTATACTTCATTTTGGGAGTCAAATAAAAATTAATACCAATCTTTCATTTTCAGTACGCATCGTTGGATTCGGGGTCTCAGTATCAGGCTCAAGTCAGTTTTACACTCCACAGTCACATAAACAACACTAGTCATAAGTAAATTTTCAATAATTATCGCCAGTACAAAAAAACAGGCACTTAACTTCATTTCCCCGTATAACCAGGAATAGAAATGAAGAAAAACCCCATTTCGTGCAGGTGTACGTTTAAAACTCGGAAATTACGCAAATCCTATTTATAATTTAATTTAAACATGATCGGACAGTTCACATACCACCTTTATCACACAAATAAATGAACTCACATCAACATTATGTACATCCAGTATGCGAGATTCAGAAATATACCCAAGTTCTTTAATCTGATTCAAAGGTGTTGCCAACACATTATATGGCTATTAAAACAATAGTTATATTAGAAGAACCAGAAAACATACGGCTTCGTGACACCAATCCTGGAGAATACGTAAGTCACCCCTTACTATGGCCTAAATATAGAGAAAAAACTAATGAAAAAATGTTTCGCGCAAAAAATAAATTCACTATGAGAGCTCAAAAATTATTTTAGATAACCAAAAACTAACAGAACA